AGTCCTGGCTGTGGGGCCTGCTGGGTGTGCAGTCCTGGCTGTGGGACCTGCTGGGTGTGGAGTCCTGGCTGTGGGGCCTGCTGGGTGTACAGTCCTGGCTGTAGGACCTGCTGGGTGTGGAGTCCTGGCTGTAAGACCTGCTGGGTGTGGAGTCCTGGCTGTAGGACCTGCTGGGTGTAGAGTCCTGGCTGTGGGACCTTCTGGGTGTGGAGTCCTGGCTGTGGGGCCTGGTGGCTGTGAGGCCTGCTGGGTGTGGAGTCCTGGCTGTAGGACCTGCTGGGTGTAGAGTCCTGGCTGTAGGACCTGCTGGGTGTAGAGTCCTGGCTGTGGGACCTGCTGGGTGTAGAGTCCTGGCTGTAGGACCTGCTGGGTGTAGAGTCCTGGCTGTGGGACCTGCTGGGTGTGGAGTCCTGGCTGTGGGACCTGCTGGGTGTAGAGTCCTGGCTGTGAGGCCTGCTGGGTGTGGAGTCCTGGCTGTGGGACCTGTTGGGTGTACAGTCCTGGCTGTGGGACCTGCTGGGTGTACAGTCCTGGCTGTAAGACCTGCTGGGTGTGGAGTCCTGGCTGTGGGGCCTGCTGGGTGTACAGTCCTGGCTGTGGGACCTGCTGGGTATGGGGTCTGCTGGCTGTGGGGCCTGGTGGGTAGGGGCTCCTGACTGTGGGCCCTCAGCCAGGTGGGCTGCAGGAGTGACCCCTGGTGACGCTCATCTTATGCGCTGATCCACTACTGGGGAGGCTGGGTCCCAAGGAGAGACAGGTGTCATTCTGTTGGCTGTCACTCAGTCTCCTCCCTGACAGGGATGCTGGCTGCCACCTCTCAAGTCCTCAGGAGGCTGATTCCCAACCATCTAGCTCACAGTCCCAACCTCTCGAAAACGTCTTCAAGGAGGCTGCAAACAGCTCAGGCAATAGTCAGGTCAGAGGCACATTTCCTTCCATCTGTTCTCGTCTCCTCCAAGGCTCCCCTTCCCTTTCAAGCACTGGAAACACTTATGTCCACTTCCTGGGTTAGTAAAGCAACCAGCAAAGTCTCATCAAGATTAAAGGAAGTTAATGTGGACTCCAATCAAGACCCAAAGATTTGGTGCACGAGGCCCATGTCCAAGTCTGGGACCACACCCGCATGCTCACCTTTTTGTACGGCTTCTTAATCTTGGCAAAGTCATTGAAATAGTCTTCCACGGTGACACAGATGATGTCCACGGCATTCGATCCGGAGAGCCACTTCTTGGTCATCAACTCATTGAGATGTTGCTATAGAGGAAAAACAAAGTCTCCTACAAGGTCCAGTAACATTCGAGGCCCTGGGGGAACCAGGCTTTATCTCCTGTGGCCCCATATTTCTGGGAAATATGAACCACTTACTTTGTAAATGTCCTTTGTCTGGGGAGTCTGGGTGGCCTGGTATGGCCTTGAGGAGACAGATCTGGGTCCATCTGACCTCTCAACAGCTGTGAGTGCTCACTGTAGGTGCCTAATCACTCCACTGACTATTACTCTCTTTTCCTCTCAATTTGGACTACATCCCTCAGTTTTATTAAACCTGGAGTGCTTGTGGCAAAGCCTGTAGGGACCGGCATTGCTACCTCAATGCAGCACTCTCCTACTGGTTCGAATGTACCAGCTGCTCCACGGGAGAAAGATGGACAGTCTCCTCCCATGCGATTTACAACCCTTGAAAACCTGCTGGAGGGTTTCTGCAGCCTGAAAATGGATCAAATATGCATTCCAGATACACTGATAAGTACAAGAGACTGGGATCCAAATGTTGGAAACAAGGAATTAGTGGCTGGAGAATATCTGGGTGATAAAAATGAATCGAGAGATGAAAAGGTGGAAGTCTGCAAGACCAAGATCTTATTAACTGCATATATCAAACAGTAGCAACCAGCTCTACACAGGACCTCACCGAGGGACACACAGCAATCAGATGGACTCTGTCTGTGCAGAGAAAGGACAGAGTTAACACAGCATCATCAGGAACAAGCCCAGGAGCCACATGTAGATGACCTGCATCACTCATCCAAGTTCAAAATAAAGCTGAAGACAATGAAAGCAAATTCATCGGAACCAAAATACGGCCC